GCCACTTCCTGGTGCGGAGGAGATCGTGCACCAAGAACCTTCGATTCCACAGGAGGTGCTCGGACCACGCATCTCTGTCCTCCACGTAGGAGGCTGGAATCACTGGGGTGGATTTAGTAAGGTTCTTTGCGCTGATTGGTGGTACTTCTATGTTTTAAGACATGGTTATAGAGTTGATTTTTAACATATCTTACAAGTCATTCAGGGATATGTATGTGTTGCCCAAAACTCTCTTGATTTAACATATTGGAGAAAACGTATTGCTTCAAACATGTTTGTCTTGTTTAGATGTTACTGTTTCCATGACTTGCAAGATAATCAACTCATGTAAATTCATATGTCACATGCCTTGCCGAAGGCTAAACCCTCCTGAGCAAAGATCATTTACCAGTGTTTCCATAATGAATTCAGATTTCCTGTCCTGGCCAAGGAGGTACACCTTCCTGAGCAAGGATTTCATTCACAAGTTTTCATTATCACATCTCCTGACCAGGACCAAGGAGGTGCACGCAACAATCATTGACATGTTATCATTATCCATCAGTGTCCTGACCAAGGAGGTGCACCCTCCTGAGCAAGGATCACTGACATTCATCATATAAGCTTCCTTGGCCAAGGAGGTAGACACTCCTGAGAAAAGTGTTTTGTGAACTTCTTTTTTTTTGCCACGTTCATTGCGCAGAGAGGCTTCTATAGTTTCCTGGACAATTGGTCAACACCAGCAGCTACTAGGGGGAAGTCACGCAAGGAGGCTCCTTAGGTCTCCTGTGTCAGTAGCAGTGTTTTCTCAACCAATGCTTTCAGCCATGTGTCAGACGAGCCAAGCGACAAGATTTGGCCAGCTCCTCATGCCGGTGAGCCCAAAGAGGTCGACTTTGTTTTGCAATTCTGAGAAGCCATGGAAGCAGGATGCAGCAACCTCAGCCCAGATGGTTCAACAGCAGCTTCTCCGCAGGGTGGGCTCAAAGACAAGCATGGCTATTTGATGAACAGCGCATCTTGACTGCCGCCAGAAGTTTCGACTCTTTTTGCTCAAGTTTTGTTACTAAACTAAACCCCTATGTTTAACACTGACAGCTGAGAACTCGGAGACACGCCAGTTAGCCAAAAAGATCCGAGCAGAGCTGCGCTGTTGAAGCTGCTATTTCCCAGACTGAGATTCACATACTTGCTGAAGATCATTTTTGGACGTCGCATCTGACCGTTGTCCGGAGTGTATCAACGTCTCATCGCCGCAGGGGAGACGCGGCTGAGGGGAAAAACTGGCCGAAGGGGTCACTTTGAACAGTGGCTGAGTGTCATTCAGTAATTTCTTTCATGGCGGCAGCCAGCTTGGCAGGCTTTCCTATCAGTTGATCAGTCATTATTATTGTTAGGCTGCAAGCCGCACACATTTCCCTTTCTGCTTGACCGGCTCAAACCTAGGGATCAGCAAGTATGTCAGAGCAGTTGGGCAACTGTTCGCTTGGCGGCTATGATGATGATGCACATGTGAAAGCTTGCTCTGCAGGTGCAAAATGTGCTCGATGCACATGGGTGAAATATAAGCCTGTATGGCAGAAAGAATTAGCATGGTTGGACGCCAAAATGAATATGGAGAGTGGCAGTTGGGGCTTGGGCTGCCGACTGTGCCATGATGCTCAGGAAGTGAGTCCTGAAGCCATGTCCAAGTTTCCGGTTTCGAGGCATCACTTTGCAAGGTATGAAGTGAACAGTGGTGACATTCGTGTGGCTCGTTTCCGCAAACATGCTGCTTCGCCTGCTCACCGCACTGCTGAAAGTATGGCCGGTGGCAAAGCGCCAGCGCTTGAGGAAATTGGTGGTTTCTCGCCAACCATGTCTGAATGGAAGTCAGTCATCTCTCACAGCAAGCCGGGTCACTGTCAAGCCGATGTGGACGATGCTGGAAACCGCAAAAAGGCTCACATGATGCGTTGGTGCTTGGCTGAAGCTCATCGGCAAAAGCAGAGAGAGGCAATCCAAACAGCTCTCTGCGTTTCCCTTGCCCAAGATCAACGTGGACGCAGGTTCTTGGTCCGCTTTCGTGCAGTGGACGCTAAGTTAGCAGTGTGTTATGGAACACTCCAGTTGGTCAAAGTAGTGGCCTCACCCAATGCTCCCGGCGCTCAAGGTATCAGGCAGATGACTTTGAAGGCCCTGCAAAATTTTTGTACGCCGTCACTTCCGCCAACTTATGGTGGACTCTTACCAGGAGCCAAGGAGGAGAAACCGTGTGACAATGACTTGCTGCAGGCCTTGATGGGCAAAGTGGAATGCATTGCTGCCGACGCAGCTGGCGATGAACAGCTGGCCATGCGTGACCTTGCGGGCATCAGTGGCCCGGACATCGTGGAGCTCCAGGACGTGATGGGTCAATCTTTTCAGAACTTGAAGGCGCGGGGCGCAATTGCTTTTCTTTGTGGTGTGGATATTAATTATTTTGGTTTTCCCTGGATTCCCTGAGGTTCTTGGCAAAGACCGCGCTCACGCAGCGCAAAGAATGTTGAGCCGCCCATGGGCAGCTGATCCGCAGTTGAAGGAGGTGATTGAAGAGTTTGTGGAGAAGCCGCACTCTGTTGCCCGACTCATCAACAATAGCCATGTCTTCAAAGATTTGTACTCTGACTTCCGGCAAAAAAGTCACGAAAAGGTTCCCATTGCCAAGAGCATTCGTGACTTAGCTTTTGCACCGCAAAGATACAGCTCTGAGTCCAAAGTACTTGCTCGACTGGTCTTGACTTGGGATGCAGTCCTTGGTGTGCTCACCGCAGTTCCAGACATGAGAGGCCGAACTTCGGCTGAAGGCGCAGCATGCCTTGCTACCTTGCAGTTTTTGACTCCAGAAAAAGCTTTGCTTTTGAGCATGCTTGCGGACGCGGCCCTTGAGTTGCATAGAGTGGTGAGGGCATTCGACACAGATGTCTGTGATGAGTCCGAACTTCCATATGAGCTTGATCGGTATCGAGGTGTGATCCGGAAGCTCTTTGTTGAAGGAGCTTGCCTTCATGTTGGTCTGACAAAGATCATGTTGCAGCACCTGTCGGAGCAGCGGCTGCTGATATCCCAAGGATTTCGAGCCAAATTGGGAGGAGCAGATGCCGTCACAGAAGAGCTGAAGCGTCAGTGTTTGAAGCGCATGTCTGCTTACGTTGCTGTGGCTGAATCTGTGCTGGAAGGAGAATTCCCACATTTTCAACTGGTGTCCTCTCTGCGTGTTTTCTCCCTCTCGGATGAATCGAGGCTCAAGAAACAGCTGGAAAGTGGTGAGCGAGCCAATTGTCTTGAAAAGTTGGCCCGGGCCATTGGTGTGGAGGAGGAATCTTTGAAATATGAGTTCGAACATTTCCTACCCATTGCCAGCAAATATGCCAGAATAGAGGGCTTGGAAAATTTTTACGCATGGAAGAAAGCAATTCAATGCACAGAGAAGAATCGCATGGTTCATTCCGCAGATGCGCTCATCCCAGCCCTTGCTCGATTGGCCTGCTGGAGCTGCAGTTCCTCTGGTGTGGAGCGTGGGTTTTCAGCTGCGCAAGGTAGCAAGCAATTGGGTCAATCCCAAGACGAGAACGCTACCTTGGAAGAAGTCATGTTGATTTTGCAACAAGTTGTCTCGTCCCCCGAATTTGGAGCAGGAGAAGAAAAGGAGCTGATCTGCGCTGCCAAGAAAGTTTGGGTTGCTCATTGCAGCCGAGTCCGGGCAAGTGGTTCACTGAAGAGAGTTCAGCGGTGGGACAAGTGCATCCCAAGGACTGTGTTTTCCTGCTGTGTAATTATTTTCCAGTTGCAAGCTTGCAATTAACATTCTCTGCTTTGTTCAGGAAAAAATTGAAAGATGGTGAAGCTGGTTTTCTGCAGGGCTGCGCGATTGTCAATGACCAGCTGGCATCCAGCAGCTCTGCCGCCGCAAGCCTGCCCAAAACAGTGTCTTCTGCGGATGACATAGCCGAAGTGTTTGGGGAGAAGCAGATGGCAGAACTCCGGTTTAACGCTGACAAAAAAAGTAAGGCCCAAATTGAAGAAGCTTTGCTGGGTGTCATCCATTCATCGGAGATCACTGACGCTGTCCGAGCTTTGGTGGCGACCACCGCAGAGAAGCTCGCAAAGACACAACGACAAAGAAACAATGATCAAAAATTGGTCCAGAGCAGAGTCAGCAACAAAGAGGTTACTCGTCAATTTTAAGTTTTGTTTGCTTTCATTATTCCGAAAATTATTTTCAACTAATCTGGACAACGGCGCAGGCTGCATGGTGCGACCAAGCTCCAATCTACGTTGGCTTCTGCCCAGACGTGCATGTTCCGGCAGATGCCACTATTGTCCGCGATTTGCATGCTGGGAGGATCTTTGTTTGCCAAGACCCCACCAATGTGTCCCCTACCCTACGTTTTTTTGCAGGTCTCGTGGGTGGAATCCTTGCGTGTCCCAAGTTTGTGGAGACCAAGGGTCACTTTGGGGTGGCGTTAGCTTTCAAACCCGCGATCAAAGTCAAGAGGAGCTTCTTCATGACGCCTGCCTTTGTCAATGGCAACAGAGCATTGTGCACAGACTTGGCTGAAGTGCTGCAACTTCAGGAGTGCAACTTCCAGTTGCTGAACCGACAAGGCTTGGATGACGCCATCGCGAAGCTGACTGTGTCCAGGGCTCGCCAACTCATTGTCCTTCGCAATGACCAAATTGATGAAGATTTTCCCCAAGTGCGGCTGCAGTTCACCGGCTTGAGTGAAGCTGTCGAGCACTGGGTCTTCTGCTCCGAGGACAAGTCTCGAAGTAGATCTGGTATTGCTGCATCCTATTAGTGCTTGCACGGTCTAAAGATTTCTTCCCTTGGCGGAAAAATGGAGCAGCGCACGGGACGCCACAGTCCACATCAGGTTGCAAACTTGGCAGTTGCCAACTGACGTGCACCACCTTGTACTCTGACCGGCACGGTCCATGTATGCATGTTTCTCCGCAGCCGTTTTTAGCGCTCAAACTGTGTTCCCGACTGTCGCAGTGACATGGTGCGACTCTGCTGGCTGTTGTGGCTGGCCGTGGCGTTGGCAGCGCCAGAAACCCCGCCAAGGCCTTCTGAGCCTGGCAGCGGCAGTGGCAGTGGTGTGCCTGCGGGAGCAGCAGCCAATAATCTGGCTGGGCAGCTTGCTCACCAAATTTGGCAGATTCTCCAAGGCTCGGTAACCGCGCCGCCTGGAATGCTGAGTGGGCCGAGTGCTTCTGAAGCTGCTGCTCCTTCTGTAGGAGCACCTGGACATTCCGCACCAACGCACGGAGCGTCAAGTTCAGCACCTGGACCACTGCCCGCCGCCACTAACCCACCTGGACCAACTGAGGAGTCTGAGGAGCCGCCTTGGAGACGATCAAGGAGCCGATTGCCTCCTGCGGCAGCCAGTGCCGAACCACCTGCGCCGCCTCCCTTGGTTTCAGCGCCGCCACCTGGACCTGGCAGTGCTGCCGCGGTACCCACTCCAGCCACCGATGTCGTGGACGTGGAAAGAGAGCCGGGGGAATCCAGACCTGCAGTGAGACTGGATTTGAGGGCTTGCCGCGTCTGTGGTGCGCAAGCCTATCAAGGAAAGAGTATATGTTTGAATATGGAGTGCGTGTCTCGGCGCAATATTTGCCTTGTTTGGGGGGGTGTTTTTGTGGGTTAAAGAACAATAAATTGTGATGTGTGCAATTCTTTGCCCGTGCCAGGACTTATACAAGTCGTGGAAGAACCCTTCTCGCAAACGCCAGAAGACCAACCGTGGCAAAAGGAGGCCGGTATGGTGGGCCGACAACAAGAACAAATGGGATCCGGAAGATCCCGAGGACGATGATGAGGGCGGCTGGGAGCCAAAGGCTCCATTGTACAAAGGCCATTGGCAAGACTGGGGAGACTCAAGTTCAGGCGGTCGTTGGGCCTGGGCCTGGGTAAATTAATGCAGTTTCTGTCGCACAAACTGCAGGAGTTTAAAAATTTGCGTGCAGACGGGGTGGGAGCTGAGGGCTTGGACTTCATTGTCATGCCAGGGATACAGTATACTAAGGAGGCCATAGTCACAGTCTCCTGCATGGCCAAGGAAGCTTAGCGAAGCTCCTTATTCCTGCAGTGTGTTCGCACACCAAAGCTTCAATAAAAGCAGGTCCGCTATAGAGCTCATTCGATTCAAGGAAAGACGGTCAAAAATGAAGATACCTATCTCCTGTGTGTCAGTGCCACCCGCCTAACTCAAGCAAACTCGTCCACGAAGGAGGTTCAAGCGAAGTCTCCTGTGCGCGACGACGGAAGAGAAAATGAAATTGTTTTTGGGCAACTTTGAGTGCGGAAGGATCCTGTCCTGCTGCAACTACGGCTGTCAATTGGCATGCGCTGCAATAGCAATCAAGGAGGCTCAAGTAGACTCCTGCAAGGACGGAGGCATCGTACTTCTGAATGCACTCAGTAACAAGGTACAAGGAGGTGCAAGAGGTCTCCTGGTCCTGTACAGGCCGAACGTTTCATGTTGCAAGGAGGCTTCTGCAGTCTCCTGTTGTCTATTTTTGCCTTCCGCGGGCAGCAAGTTGAGTTCAAAAAGATCGCTACTAAGGCCTCTCCCTACTATTTCCAGGAAGCAGTTCGACCGCCATGTGTTGCACGTGTTCACCATGTACAGCATGGCAGGCAAATACGCGTTTGGCCGCCGTGTTTGTACACGGTTTCCCATGTGCTAACATGGCAGCCTCCTTTCTTTATCAAGGAGGCTGCGCCATGTTAGCGCACGGTCTGCCATGTGGTAGCACGGCAGGCAAATACGCGTTTGGCCGCCGTGTTCTTACACGGTTGACCATGTGCTAACATGGCAGTCCTGGTCTTTGAACTCCCCAGAGGACCCGAATTTAGTACGGCTCATGAGCATGGCAGCCAAATACGCGTTGACTCTTGCAGCTGGCCCGAATTTAGTACGGGTCACGAGCATGGCAGTCAAATACGCGTTGAATACTGCATTTGGCCCGAATTTAGTACGGGTCACACGCATGGCATGGTACAACCGTCTTGATTTCAGCAGGAGACATTTTAAGATCCTTGCAGTCCTGGCCCAGCTGTGAGTGTGCCTCCAACTTAGTTATTACTTCCCACGGCTGAGTTTCTGCAGAGTGGGTGCGTAGTAGCCATGGCTCCCAAGAAGTCAGCAGCGAAGAGAGGCGCGGAGCTGTTACCTGAAACTGCTGAGCCCAAGGCCAAGGCTGCCAAGGCTGCCGCTGCCGCCAAGACTCCGAAAGCTAATGGCAGCCAAGACCCGGCACTCATGGCCAACTTGGCTTCTGGCAGCCCGGGGGTGTCTTCACAGGCGCTTTGCCTGAATGGTGGAGTTTGGGCAAAACATGCAGAGAATGTCCGACGTTTCAAAGAGCAGGCAGTGAGTGAAGATGCTGTGCAGCTCCGCCCCAACACGCACAGCTTTGGCCAGCCCTTTGATGAAAAGGCTGCTCTGGAAAGCCTCAAGCGTGAAGGCAAGTACCTTTGCATCATGAATGCTTTGTGGCTTGACCAGAGCTGGTCTGCCACGCCGCAGATACCAATCAGTCAAGGCGCCATTGACCAAGTGAAGTCCCATTGGTTTTCTACACCGAATGGTTTGGACCAGCAGCAAGTCACTGTGGGCTTCTTGCGGCGAGAGGTGGACTCAAAGACTGTGCCAGCCTTTGGCACTTGGAAGCGTCTCAGTGCTGAAGAGTCCATCATTGCCTTCTTCGAAGCAGCTGCCGCCGAAGCGCAGAAAGTGGAAGCAGGTGCAGCGGGTGATCAGTTGCAGGAATGGCTAGGTCATTGTTTATCCTGCCCAGTGTTGATCAGGGTTGTAGCTGACTCGCAAGAGATGGAGTGGGTGGCCCAGCAGCTGAGGGAGGATCAGACCCAACTGTCCTTCCTCGCCCGCACACCCACACAGAGGGTGTTTGACGTCATGCAGAAGAGAGAGGCGATGGGCGTGGCTTACACGCCAGAGGCGCTTCTGCAGTTGTATGACGAGAAGCTCAAGTTCAGCGCCAAGTCGGAGAAGATTACCAAAGGACCCCTGTTACTGTTTATCTTTTTGTGTACTGAAAGGAAGGATTTTTTTTTTGGCCACCCATCACCCATATGAGCAGGATTTCTGGGCCATGCTTCCATGGTCATGGACCGTGCTTTGCGGCATGACGCAATTCTGCAGGTGATCCTGGCGGAAGAAGCTTGTGGCAAGAGCCTTTGGGATTCTGTCAGCAAGTTGCACGCCATGGTCTCCAAGTCTACCCGCTTTGAAGAAGTTGCTTGGCTTTTCACGCACATGCACGATTCCAAACTGGCTGGCCTTCTTGAAGGAGAAGTGTCTGTGCGGCAGTTGACGGGCCAGGGTGCTACAGGTGGCAAAGGTCTGTGCGATCTGGTCTTATACAAGATGAGGCTCAGAGACTACTTCATCAGCGACTTCTTGCTTTCAACTGAAGCCAAAGAGATGCCTGAGAAATACCGCCAAGCTCTCAAAGACATCTTTGCTTCCCACGAAGCCTTCCGAAGAAAGGTCGGTTTCCCGGACAGCCCGGCGGACCTCTCATGGAAAGCTGGGTGGTCACGCTCTGCTGATCACGTAATGCAACTGATTCAGGACCGTGGGGCCATCCATTTTGTTTAACATAGTATTTTTTCAGTTTTTATTACCGCATGGTTGTCGATTTATCAACAGCACCCAGGAGTCAGTCTTTGGCACGGTCTTTGACGACAATCTCAAAGCAGCTGTGGTGGCAGGTAAAGCTCCCCTGGATGCCTTGACCATGGATACCAAATTGGGTGAGCGCTATAGAGAATTCCAGCAGCTCCTGCGGCAAGAGCTGGATGAGGCCAGGGCAGAAGCATCTGCAGCAGCCCGAGCTGAAGCCCAGCAAGGCGCAACTCAAGACCCGGAGGCCCAGGAGGGTTTGCCAGTCAGAAGTGCTGCTTTCAAGGCATTCCTGGGGGATGTGCAGGCCAAAATCGGGGAGATCAAGAATGAAGAGACTCTGGCGCAGCTTCAGTACTTCGAGGACAAAGCTCGCAACCTCATGGCTTCCAACGTCCAGCTCTTTGTCTTCCAACCGTCAGAGAATGAGTTGTGCGCGTACTTTGACAAAGCAGCTGCTTGCCAAGTCAGAGGTGGTGGTAATCAGTGGGTGGGAATCTTTCTGGATCCTGCTCAGTGGGGTGAAGCTGTGACGAACCCACACATTCGTGTTTGCCCGTTGAACCAGCAGTACTTGAAGACCTTCTTGGCGTCAGTGGTCAAGTCCAGGGACAAGCAGCAGCTGACCTTGCACCATCGCGACCTCTTTATCTACTTTGATTCGTTCTTGCCTGGCAATTTGAACAAAGTGCTAGGTTCTTTCCAGACTCCAGCCGGAGATGCCTTGAACAAAAACTCCTTCGGTGTCTTCATCTCCTATGATGAGGAAAGTCTCAAGCAACGCCGGCAGTACATCAAAGCAAACTCAACGACTTTTCAGCAAATTGAGCTAATGACGCTGGCGACTGCTGAGAATTTTGGAGACGCCATGACCAAAACAAACCGCAAGATCTACAAGGGGACCAACTTCGGGAACAAGATCGGAGACGTGTTGTTGGAGAGCCCCAAATTGCTTTGGTCTATGGCTTTGAAGGCATGGATTGAAGATTTTTTAGAAGGGGGTGCAGGCTTTTTTTTTGGCCTTTTTCCCTTGCCACTGCATTTGTGGGCAGGACAAAATCACTTTGTTTGGCAAGTACCGGGTGTCCGTTGGTGGTCGTACCACCGGGGAAGCAGAGAGCCATCGTGGAGTCAGCAACCGCAAGCTCAACACTGAAGAGCCCGTGTTTTGGCATAGCCGTCCTTTGAGCCTTTGCCTTGAGCTTTTGGCCAGTTACAACCTGGCTGCCGTGGTGGACGCTGGAGCTGGCGATGGGAACATGGCCCTGGCGTGCGCTTTGAGTCGCATGCCTTACTGCGGTCTCTGCCTCACTGAAGATCATTTGACCCAGGTCCAAGACCGCATTGTCACTGAGATCATGCTGCGCATGCTCTCTTCTTCCGAAAGCGTGTTCGAACCCAAGTTGGCTGCAAGTTGCTTGGCCTTTTGTTTGTTTTTGGTGTAGCGCCTTTCATTCAAATGTATTTTCAGCGCGTCAGTCAGGTTTGGGAGGAGATCGCGCTGGCCGGTCGTCTCAGCCAAGCGGTGCAAGGACGGCAGAGCAGCAAGGCGTCAGCCATCCAGCCTCTAGCGGAACGACTGGCAACCCACCCAATACCAGTGGCAATGACAGTGGCACAGCAGCGTCTGTGCTGAATGAGTTCAGGGCTCAGTTGGCGAACCTCCAGCAGCAAGGCCAGTGATATTTTTTGGGATGAGGATCACGATCGGCGCAAAATGGTCTTTGAGGCGTTTGGCCCGACCTGACAAGAGGTCGAAGATTCATTTGGACAAGGCTGACTGACAGAGTAGCTGTGGTTTTGTACTCACAGCTCAAAAATTGGAAGGAAAAGGTCTTTGCAGCAACACCTTTTCCGTTTGAGTCACTGCGCATGGCGCTGTCAATCAGAGAGACCAGCCACATCGCACACATGGCCGCTGTCGTTTCAGCAAGATTTTTTTTGGTAGGTTTATTCCATCATGGCGCCGCGGTTGTCCAAGCCGAGAGCCACGGCCAGTGGGCGCGCAAAGACCCCCCTACCAGCAGCGACAGAAACCGAGAGTAGAAAAGCAACCAAGCGGCCAGCTTCAGACCAGGGAGGCGCAAGCAAGACTGCCAAGACCACGCTGCTCCCAGCAGAGCCTGGCAAAGTGAACCTCATAGCTGCGCAGCCTCCAAACACCCCGGCCGAAGTCACGCTGGCTTCTGACTGCTCTGGTCTTTGCACTGAAGGGCCAGCGGTGCGAGTGAACTTGCCTTCATCTGTCAATGTGAAGCACATCTACACTTCTGAAATTGATTCCAACTTCAGGAGCACAAGTAATTAATTTACAATGATGATGGGGTTCTATTTTTTTTGTTCAAAGTGATTTTTTAATCTCCCTGAAGGAAATTCATTTCTGAGTTTGTCAAGCCCCAGCAGTTGGAGAACGACATGGAGAACACATTGCATCTTGGGCGTGTGTGGTTTGATGTTGACCTTTACGCGGTCGGCAGCCCATGTCAAAGTTGGAGTCTTGCCGGTAGTAAGTCTGGGGCTGCAGATTCCAGAGGCGGTCTCATGGCTCTGATCCCTTTTCAAATTGAAAAGCACAAGCCTCGCAGCTTTATCTCCGAGAATGTAAAGGGCCTCCCGTCACTCTTTCCCAAGGAATTCAACTGGCTGATCCAAGCTTTGAGAGACATTCAGCTTCCCAATGGTGAGCAATGCCTCTTATCTTGCTTCAGAATGTTTTGTGAACGCATCTTCTTTTTTAATTGTTTCAACCGCATAGTGGCTCGCAGAAGCTCTGCCATGGTGTGCTGCAGGCTACAATGTTTATTACAAGCTGCTGGACACACAGCACTTCGGAATTCCGCAGCACCGCGAACGGGTCTATATCATCGGTATTCGCCGAGACGTGCAAGTGAAGCACTTTGAGTGGCCAGTGCCTTTCAAGGAGCGGCTCACGCTCAAGCAGCTCCTTGGCAATCCTGCCATGGAATGGAAGTGCAACTTGCGGGAGAAGACACACGATGTCGACGGCTCAGCTCTATCCAGCACAGCCCGCAAGAACTTGATCCAGTTTCAAGACTTTTTGGACAAGAATCCGGCCAAACAAGACTCTGACTTCATTGTCGACACAGGCGGTTCTTCAGCAACTTGGATGGAGGACAAATGCCCCTGCCTCACTGCCACCAGATGCAAAGGAAAGCATTGCTACTGGTGGCATCAAGGCCAGAGGTTCCTCACCCCGACAGATTTTTTTTTGCTTCAAGGCGTGTGGCCTGGGGCTTACAAGCCTGGAGATGTTGAAGAACTTCAAAGTTTTCCACAAAGGGTATTAGGACATATGATTGGCAACGCCATGTCTGTTTGTGTAGTGCGACGCTTAGTGCGATGCATTTTCCAAGCACGTGGCATTCTTTGAGGAATAGGCGGCATGTTTCCAGTTTGACCTGTTGAAAATCATTTGAGTCAGCTGCGCTAGCCGTGGTTACCACATTGCTTGAACATTCAGTGCTGAACATTGCCGCAATGCAATTCAACCTCGGTTTTGCTTTGTCCATCACATCGACCCATTCGACCCAGGTTTTTTGGCTCACAAAACTAGTCTAACTTGCAACATGGCAGCAGCAGGTGAGAAGAGATTGCCCCAAGGTGTCCTCAACAGAGCTGACTTGCAGTTGGGGGTCCAAGCCTTCTTGCGGTGGGATCCAGCACTCAAGGAGAAGAGCGCGTTCGAGCTGGAAAATGCTCGTGAGGCTTTGATTTTTTGCCAGCCTTTCTTCAAGGAAGACCGCACCAGGTCATGTGCGCTTGCCTGTGCCATCATGTTTTTGACCATCCTTCAGATGACGCTGGACCGCCCTGACACAGAGCCCACAGACTGTACATGGACCGCTCACCTTTACACCAGGTCTGGACAAATCCAGCCTATGCAAGAGAAGATCGAGAAATGTCCAGCTTTGACATCGCGCGAGTTGCTTGCAGGAAAGGTTGGTGAGTTGGATAGCGCTGCTTTTCTTTTGGGCGCCATCAACGCCATGCCTCATGACCTGCTGCCCCAGGCGCCGCATTTCGAAGGCTGT